AACAGGACAGAATTAGAGATGCTGGTTATTTTACCAAGGCTTTGACTGGAATGGCATATTTTCAAATAGGCACAGATTGCTTTGAGGAATTAGGTTGACTTTATAAGGCCAATAAAAAGCCCTTCGGGAAAAAAAATTTCAAGCTGATGCCTCATCTATAACATTGCCTGATCTGTAGTAAGTAAGGAATGTCACTTTCTGACAGGTCCAAGAACCTCAAGTTACTTTGGGATCTCAAAAAAAGAGGACTTTACCCAATTCACACAGGTATCTACAGGCAGTTAAACCTTGGCTTGGCTCAAGAGACCTTTAAGCAATCTGAAATTCCTTTTTTTTTTTTTTAAAAAAAAGGTTCCACCAAAGCCAATTTAAAAAAAAAAGCCTACATGGTGAATGATTATTCTTACTGCACTTTATTCAAATAATCAGACAGTGAGACTAAAATTTCTTTTGCAAATGGTCTTACTATGTATGTTTGTCTCTACAAAAATGAGAAACTAGAGAGAGAAAATTATGTTTCAAAAGAATATAGTGAACTAGTTTTTAAGTTTTATTTACCTATAATTTTTTGACACTAGTCCTACTTGGCTTAATTTTTTCTCTTCTGAGGGACATGATCTCCTAAAAATGAACCTTCCCAGTCATGTGGGATTTGATTTAAAAAAAAAAAAAAATGCAATCTGAACTTGTATCTTCTAGGAGGCTTTCTCCAGAAGATTTTGAAGAACAGGGGGGAGTGTAAAAAAATGAAAGTCTCAGGGCCACACCCCCAACTCCTCATGCAAAAGAGAAGGTAGAAGCCTCAGGCCCCTGTGAAGAGCCAGCCCCACAGATCGTTGATTAAGGGAAGTCCCTGCTGACCTCCCATGAGCAAAGGCACCCACATTGTACCTGAGTCCAGCACCTAAAACTAAAGCCTGTTCAATTCCACACTAATAATAAACTACAATTTTATCTCCAGGTGACAGGACTGGAGACGAGACAGAATCAGACATTCTTCCACCTGCCCTGATGCTTCCTTCACTCTCTTATTTCATGTAAAATGTACATTTCTTTGGCCTCAGGAGAAGGTAACTACTACCTCGCCATCCCCTCCCCAACGCAGGCCTCTAAACTGCTGAAGGTACCAACTTTCCCTTTGGAAAAACAGCCGCAGCTTATCTGTTCCTGTTTTTCCCAGGCGTGTCCTCAAAATCTTGGCTTAATAAACCTCCGCTGATTGAGACTGCTGCCTCTTCACTTTGGTGGACAACGTGGTGTGCTGGAGCGAGCAGCCACCGAGTGCAGACAGAACTCTGGCTCCGGCCAGGTCCTGCACCCCACCCCATGGGCACGAGCTGTGGAACAGCTGGAAGTAGGGAACGACCCGTGACCCTGAGTGTCCACAGAGACCAGTGAGGGTGCCAAAGTCGTGGTTACTCCTCCGCCAGGGCAAACTTCTGGAATGGTCCGAACACGTGACTTCAACCTCCCCTCACAGCTGCTTAAAGAGGGAGACTTCACAGGTTATCCCTCGGTTATACAACTCAGTCTGTTGCCTGGTTTACTTTACCTCCTTACTATAAAGACATTCTACTTAAATCCCACACACATCTACACCTACGTGGACAGTTTCACGTGGGTTTTCCAAATACATATTAAGGATCTCAGGTCCTATTTACAGCACAATAAACAGCTACATGCTCTAGAACTGCAAGACGGAAGCTCACACTGACAGTTACAGACGCAAGCAGGAAGACTGGCCGACATACGACGTGCACTCGGAGAGGACACGCGGCGGCTGGAACAGGGCCCGTGCCCCCTCCGCGCCCAGGCCTGTCCTCGCTGCCGCCGCCGCACCAAGGCCCTTTGCTCGCTGTGAAAGAAAGCCATGTTTTGGTTTTCTTAAACTGGAAGTAATACTGCTTTCCTTCTTTTTTCTTGGCTTTATATAATTATTGCAGATTAAGGGTTCTTATATTCCCTGATTTCAATATAGCAGGTTTCTATGTATGTAAATCAACGTATGTATATATAAATATGTAATATATACCTTTACACATATAATCCAATCTCCAGAGTTTTTACTAATATGTAAATATATAGAGTTTTAAAGCTATATTTGAGCTACAAGACTAATAAAAATAATGTTCAGCAAAGTTAGTTCTTAAAATTCCCTGCAAGTAACGGTGACCCGTGACAGGGGCCACGCCCCCTGCAGCGGACAGGAGAGGGGATGCACCCAAGTGGCTCTACCAGCTTCCTTTCAAGACAGGCCACGGTGAACTACCTGCACCTCAGCACAGAGCAGAATCAGAGCTGCAGGGAGGTTGCACCCTGACCAGACTCCCTCCCCTACCCCATCCCCTTTCACAAAACAGAGCTGAAGTTTGTGTTCCTGTCCCCTCCAATCTCATACTGAAATTAGGTCTCCAATACAGGAGGTGGGAGGTGTCTGGGTCCCTCTCCAAGGTCATGACTGAGTTCTTGCTCTGCTAGTTCCCTGACAGACAGCTGGCTATTTAAAGGAGCCCAGTACCCGTTCCTCCCTCTCTTCCTCCTGCTCTCATCATTGACACGCCTGCCCCCTTCCCCGTCTGCCTTGATTGGAAGCTCCCCGAGGCCCGCACCAGAAGCAGATGCTGGTACCACACTTCTCATACAGCCTGCAGAACCATGAGCCAGATAAACCTCTTTTCTTTATAAATTACCCAGCCTTGAGTATTCCTTTATAGCAACACAAAACGGACTGAGACAGGAGCCCAGAAGCACTGTGAAGCCATGAGCCGTCCCTGCCTAGAATATGAAGACAGTCCTGGGCTGTCTGTAGCTTGTTACGAAAACTCCGTCCTTGCTGAAGCACCTTCCCACATGACCTCAGGCTTCACTGACAGCACAGCTGCCCAGTCGGCTCTCAGAAGGAACCCACGATCAGTGACAGCTGGCACAAGCCCCATTCTTAATGGGAAAAATTAGAGGTCTGGAAAAATCTCTGATGGCTGTGTACTGAGCTGGCGAGTGGATGGCCAGGGAGAAGCAGCCTCTGCATGGTGGTGTGCATGTCAGAGAGGGCTTCCACGGTGTCCTTTTCCCTGCTCTTACCTCTCAGGAGATGGCAGAGTGGCAGGAGCTCTGCTTCTGCTCTGCCAGTAACGAGGAGGCAAGCATGGCAAGTCACAGGGCGTGGAGTGGGGGTCACGTGCAGAACACAAAAGAAAAACCACATGGCAAATTTTACAGCTGAGTGGAACCTGAGGCTCAGAGAAGTTCAGTTACTTGCTGGATGTTCTTAATAAGCTGTTCGAGATTACCCAGCAGGTCAGGGCAGACCCTAACCCCCAAACCCCACTGTTTGCTGTCCACACTGCCCCAGCAAAGGAGCTCAAAGACCCCTTCCACCTGTCTGCTGGCTGAATTCTACCGACAGGGAAGAGGAGAGCAGGCGGGGGTCCTCAGCTGTAACGGAAGCTGCTCAGCTATGCCAGGGAGCCACAGCTGATGGTGGGTCCTACCAGGGCCCAGAAGGACAGTTGGCAGTGGGGCGCCAGTTCAGAATGAGGATTAATATTGACCTGCTGATAACTCAGAATCAACTTTTTGAGATTCTGTTTTGCCTAATGGAGGTTAAAAAAAAAGATCACTTTTAAAAATAGCTTTTTAACAATGATGTGATGAAATTTCTAATACAAAAGAAAAAGATTTGGCATTGTTCATCTACTTGGACTGCTGTGAGAATTAGTTATGAATTAAACCTACAATGCGAGATTTATGAGGTTAGAGTAGAAAGTCACTTACAAATGAAATTTATTAGTTTTTTTCACTAGGAAGACAAATAACAAATTCAATTACATAGAAGCTACGGATAAAACTAAAAAAATTACCATTATCAAATAGCATTTGTAAAGCAAAGCCTTAAGAGTCCATCCACAGCAGACCGGACCTTGGGATTTTCCAACAGGAAACACCCAACTCCAGATCTCACAGGCTGCAGCCCCCAGAGCAGAGTCACAGAGCTTAGCCGGGAGGGGGCCATCTGGTGAGACTAAAGGAACAAACACTCCTGGATGGCAGTGCCTGAATAAGAACAATGGAGGATGCGGGTCTCCTGGCTGGGGTGCACCTTCCCCTCTATATAACCCTCCTTCACTGAACCCTGGCTGCACACGCAGCACCAGGAAAGGGTGTGGGAAGGTGCGCAGGGCCCTCAAGGGTCCCCAGGGTAAGCTGGGAGGCGAGGCCTGGGGACAGACCAGGCGGGCAGTATGCACACTGACCCCAGAATTTAGCAAGGCTTATAAAGCAGTGGTCCCCAAGCTTTTTGGCTCCAGGGACTGTTTTCATGGAAGACAACCTTTCCACGGACCAGGGGTGGGTAAGGTGGTTTCAGGATGATTCAAGCGCATCACATTCATTGTGCACTTTACTTCTATTATTATTACACTGTGATATGCAATGAAATAATTACACAACTCACCATAGGTTGGGGACCCCTGTTACACAGGATCAAATAAACAACTCTCCCCAAATTGTGAGACCATGGAGGGAGACAGCACTGCGAACTGTGGGCTTCTCCACCTGGAGCTGAGGCAGCACTTGTCAGTGTCTGACCCTGGTGCTTGCCCTCGAGCTGCCTAAGAGACATGACAGCTGCCGCCTCGTGAAAAGACCACCAGCTAAAATGCCATCCCATCTTCTCTGTGAAACGTCAACAGTGATGGAAAGAAGAGGTGTGAAGGAACGCTGACCCTCTGGTCACTGCCCCTTGTCTTCAGGGCTGTGACAACTGACTGGTCATCTCTGTACCTGTAAGTTTATCAGCTGTGCAGTTGATTTTCCTTGGAGGCACAGGGCCTGGGCAATGAACGCATGCAAATCCTCCAGGCAAAGGGTGTCTACCTGCAAGGGACAGAGGAAGGCCAGCGTTAGGTGACAGGAGGACATCCTACACTTCTCACAAACCGATCCCAGCTGATAAACATGGACGCATGTCACGCACACACACAGGTACACATGTGCACACAGGCATGCAGAGGTACACACACTGGCACACATGTGCATACACAGGCACATAGAGGTCACACACTGGTGCACATATGCTTACACAGGTACAGATGTCCACATAGGTGCATACACAGGCACACACTTGTGCACATGTGTATACACAGGTACACACAGAGACAGGCACACACGCGCACAGACACACACAGGTACATACATGTGCACACAGGCATACATAGGCACACACCTGCACGCACAGGCACATATACAGGCACAGAGGCACACATGCATGTGCGTACACAGGCACACAGAGGCATACATTTGCACACACAGGCACACATAAAGGCATACACTGGCGCACATGTGCATACAAAGGCACGCAGGCTCATGAGCACACACAGACACGAACAGGCACACAAGTGCACACACAGGTGTACACACAAGTACATATATGCACACACGTGCACAGACACACATGGGGCAGCAGGGAACATGTGGTGAGAAAAGCACAGGCTCTTCCCTCCCTGTCCTCGGCCCCCGGTTGTGACACTCTCTCCACGGCATCCTTGGCCGTGCACACAACTCACAGGCCAAGCTGAACCGGGGAATCTGACTTCTAGTAAAGGTACTCTCCACCAAAGCAGAAATCTCTGGAATACTTGGGAAGGATCAGGAGGTGCCACCCAAGTCCAAGTCTGAGGGGAACACAGGCCATCACTTTTGGCAGCAAGCGCAGAGTGGACAGTTCAGGGGTGTCTGGACAGGGAGCACCTGCAGCCAGGCTCGGGGGGGGGGTCAACACCTGTCTCCCTCCCCCCGGCTGAAACCCGTGTCCTCAGATCCCAGATTAAAGTACACTGAAACCCACAGAGAAGCCCCTGCCCACTGTGGGACCCACAGATCTAACAAGAGCGCATGAGAAACCAGAGAAAAGAAAAAGGGAGAATGGCTGGGTCTCAAGGCAACGGTGGACACGAGGAGGGACCACGAGAGTGACTGGACACCTGACAGCAGACGGCATCCACTGCCACCTCTGCCTCACTCCACCGTGAGGCCGAGACTTGCTCGCTCGGCAGCTAAGCCTGCCCCTGCCAGGTAACAGCAGCACGGCACCCACTGACTAATTCCACCCAACCCCACCACCGTCACAGGACTGTGGGAGCCTGTTCCCATACAGCATGTCCCGGGGCGAGGAAAGGCTCGGGGAAAGGAAACAGGAAAACAACAATCTCACCGGTCATAATTTCACTGACTCTTTCGGGACAATAAAAATGGCTAATGTGCCCACTTCCAGTAACAATGACCCCATCATACATCACAAAGACCATTCACAGGGACTCCTGCTCACGCCCTGGACACGCGCCCTGCCTGGAGACGACGACTGCTGAGACCTGCTGACTGTCCTACTGACTCTGTCATATGCTACTCCACTTTTATTCCTAAGTGGGTGTCACCCTTTGTGTAAATGACTTTATACAATGCTAATTATTTTGGGGGGAAAAATCTGCAAATGCATAATACCCCTGACCAAGAAAACAGATCCGAATCTTAGAAGACCAAGCATAGCATGTGTTTTCTGAAATCCACAAGCTCCCTCACTGTGCAGACTGAGGTTGCTGGTATGTAATTCTACGTCCTGCCTTAGCAACTGTGGAAGAATGGTGGTCTTAAAATACCAACCTCTAAGAAAAGAATAACTATTTTATACATCATGTTTGTACAGTTAAACAATTTAACACTCTACCACCATTTTTGTAATTGGCAAAACTAAAACATATCAGAGGTCGCCTAAGACACTTAGTAATATCTAACTTTTTAGAATTTCACATAACGGATATCATTTAATAGTATACATTATAAGGAGCGCACTATTATAAAGTATTTGTTCTACTATAAATGATATAAAATAGGTACCTTTTCTATGATGTGAACTTATGCTTCCAGAGGATTTTCTCAGATAAATCTTTAATAAAATCTTGTGTTGCTGTAAACATGAAGGTCGGGCCGAATGAGAATACACGGTGATCCCTGAACAACACGGGTTTGAACGAGGCGGGTCCATTTATATGCAGACTTTTTTCAACCAAAGTAGGATGGGAAATGCGGTATTCATGGGGATGCAAAACCTTTTGTACAGAGAGTACTGACTTTCAAACACACGGATTCTGCAGGGCCAACTGCAGGACTTGAGTATGCACAGATTTCAGTACACTCACCAAGGGGCAACTGTATTTATTAATAGTTTCTCTGTGGTTCGTGGATGCTGAACAGCATCAATTTTTTTTATTCCATATTGCAGTTCAAAACATCTAAGTTAGGCTTAACTATATAAAATTACAATGTTTTTATAAATTTATCTTTTTAGCCTCATTGAGAGTAATTATCCCTGTGAATGATAATACAGTACCTTCTTAATTTAATGGTTACCACTGATTTGTCAATTTGCTGTTTTCTCATTTTAAAAAGTTCCAATTTTAACATCTCCTTTAAAGCCATGTCACTGAGTCTACTCATGCTGACTTACACTGAAGAGATTTTATTTAAAAGGTTACTATTAACAGAGAAAAGGTAAAGTGGAAATTTTCCTCCTGAGGTTTGTCTTGCTTCAGGTGTATAGAAACAGGGATGTAAAGCTACTATTCTAGGACTTCGAACTTTTTCTGCCTGAAGTGGATTTTTACGAGGACGGGCAACGTACAGCTGACAGGGAGCAGAGCTTCGCTGAACTGTAGTCGACACCGCTGGAAAAGCACTTCTGCATGCGGGTCCCGGGCACGCTGACCCCACGGCATCCCATAGCTGTGCACACACAGCAGCGAGAACAAAGCACACTTATTTTTGTGGGTGAGAAAACTCAGTTATTGGCTACCCACCACTTCCCACCATGGCTCAGCTTCAGAGACACCTGGATATTACTAAACAATGGACAGAAAATATTAACTGACAACACATGCACGCATATTTAGTAAGTAATATCAAAAGAAATATGTTTGTGCATTCAAATATTAAATAATTCCTGCCATCCGATATTAATTTATACTTTACTAAGTCTTGTACAAAGTATTCTACTCAAAACAGTAATGCAAAAACTAAAGTTTATACTGGTGTTATGTGAAACCAATAATGAAGCAATAAAATCTCTAAGAGCCATTTAACCACAGTTTTACAGAATGCAAAATGAAGAGCAAACTAGAGAATGTGCAAAGCCAAGAGGACATTCAGAAAGGAGAAGTCAGAGCAGGGTTCCCTGGGGTGTCACTCTACCATAAGAGAAAGTTCCTAAAGACAATCAATGATGCGCAGAGTAGTTCAGGTGTGAAGAACAGATTCACAGAACTTCCTATTCCAGGCAGTGATGCTAGTGGTTACGCTGAAGCAGACCCAGCACAGAGGGGGATGGGGAGCTGACAGGACAATCTGAGGGGGGTCAGAGAGTTTACGAGAAAGTCTCCATGGGCAGAAGCAGATGCCTTGTCAACAGTGAGACAAAAGTCACCCTAAATCGCAGAGCTGGGGAGGGAGGATGGGAGGAGGTATCTGGAGAAAGGGGCTGGGAGACAAAGGGTCACTAAGGTGTCCAAACATTATCGCAAAGGAACAAAACTATTAAAAAGGGGAATCTTTTAATTGGACTGATTTTCATATATAAACGAACTGTAAAACTAATGAAAAAGAAACAGCCTGACCTGTTGAGTGACACTAAGATGAAGGCTCAGGTGCCCCGATTTCTAATGTGCAGCAGTAGTCTGAGGTGTGCTAGTCCAGCATGCTGGGAGGACACAGACGATGATGATGACAACACCAGCAGACATTTTACTGGGCCCTTCTGCAAAAATCACCTCCGTGTTTTCCAGAATGTGGCTGTGCAATAACCCCAGAAGGCTGTTATCATCCTCTCGTTTTCAGGTAGGAGATGAGGCCAAGCGCTCAATGAGCCCCTGACGGATGAACACGACTCAGGAAGCTGGAACAATCTGCCCAGAGGGGCAGAGCAACTAAGGGGAGGCCAGGCCTCCCGGCAGGTCCCTCCCAGCATCGCAGCACACCCAGCAACAGAACCACCACCCCAACCACCACACAGGATGGGGCTGCACCACGGGACCTCATTAGCTTGAGGAAGTTTAATCAAAGCTAAAGCAGGTTCCTTCGCCTGAAAGATTTCCTAAGCCTCTACTACTCCTGTGTACCACAATCGTAAGTCTGACAGAGTAGACAGGGTTTCTCAAGGGCATTTCACCACGGAACCTTCTTTTTATATTTAGAGCATCTCAAAGGACTAACAGCGTTCTATGGAACAGACGCCGGAGAAGGATGACCCAGGACCAGCCCAAGGCCATACCCCACAGCACGGCCTCTCAGCACTCGAGTTACCTGGACAAACAGGTAGATGAGGAGGCAGCACAGAGCTGCAAATGGGCTCTCCACAGCCTGCAGCTCTTCTCTGGAGGAGGACAGGTTGAAACAGGCCAGGAGTGTGTCCAAGCGCCGGGCCTGCACTTCTGGCTCCTGGTTCAGCCACAACATTTTCAAACTAGGCGTTCCCCCTAGTTAAAAAAAAAAAAAAAGTCCATGTAGCATCATTCTTTGCAGCAGCAAGTTATAATATGCTTCTTCTAGAAATAAAATAAAAGGAAACAAATCTCTCCCCTTCCTGATATACTTGAGACTTCAAAGCTTGAAGGAGCTGGAAAGTAAATACGATTAGTTTCCTAATTTAAAAAAAAAATCGAAAACCCTCCTCCTTTTTATAATGGCTAAGTTTTGAGGGAAACCAGGGGCTTTTGTTCCCACTCAGGCTGCACTCGCTGTTGCTAAGGTGCTTTTCAGAACACACCTGGAAAGCGCCGACCCGGGTTGTAACGCAGAAGTGCCACGGCCATGACGCGCACGCACTGTTGACCTGCCCCTTTAGTTTGCTCTCTTACGCTCCTACACTAATGGTTTTCAAACTTTCACATGCAGAAGAATCAGCTGCAGAGATTGTAAAAAATGCATTTTCCTGGGATCTATACGTAGAAGTTCTGATTTGACAGGTATGGGTGCCCGGAAATCTACATTTTAATGAAGAAGACTTGGATGCAGGTCATCTATGGACCCCGCGCTTTATAATGCACTTCCCCCAAACTATTAAATAAACAGAGATTCCTAAAATGTAATATTTAGTGTTTCATTTCTATACTTTATATATATGTATGTATACACTTAAATTCTTAAAATCAAAAGAAAAAATCTCTTATTTATTAGGTTGGTGCAAAAGTAATTGCAGTGTTATTATAACCAGGCTTGAACACATCCTTATTAATCAGAACAGGAATCATTACAATCAACACATTTTGCCAACGAGAAATAAGTTTGTTTATTCCTGAGGCGTAAAAATTTGTGCTTTGGGATTTGATGAACTCTTGGAAAGCGTTTTCTGCATCCTGCTGGTTGTGGAAGCGTTTTCCCTGCAAAAAGTTATCGAGATGCCTGAAGAAGTGGTAGTCGGTTGGCCAAAGGTCAGGTGAATGTGGTGGATGAGGCAAAACTTCATAGCTCAATTCGTTGAACTTTTGAAGCGTTGGTTGTGCGACGTGCAGTCAGGCATTGTCTAGAGAAAAATAGGGCCCTTTCTATTGACCAATGCCGGCTGCAGGCATTGCAGTTTTCGGTGCATCTCATGGATTTGCTGAGCACACTTTTCGGTTGTAATGGTTTCACCAGGATTCACAAAGCTGCAGTGGATCAAACTGGCATCAGATCACTGAACAGTGACCACGACCTTTTCTTTGTGCAAGTTTGGCTTTGGGAAGTGCTTTGGAGCTCCTTCTCTGTCCAACCCCTGAGCTGGTTGTCGCCAGCTGTCGTAGACAATCCACTTTTTAATCACACGTCACAATCCGATTGAGAAATGGTTCGTTGTTGCGTACAATAAGAGAGGACAACACATCAAAACAACAATTGTTTTGATTTTCGGTCAGCTCATGAGGCACCCACTTACCGAGCTTTTTCACTTTTCCAATTCGCTTCAAATGCTGAACAATCTGATTGTAGAATGGTCGGTGTTGGGTTCTTTGGCAACTTCTCGTGTGGTTGCAAGAGGATCAGCTTCGATGACTGCTCTCAACTGGTCGTTGTCAACTTCCGATGCCACTGCGCTCCTCGTCTTCAAGGCTGGTCTCCTTTGCAAAACTTCTTGAACCCCCACTGCACTGTACGTTTGTTAGCAGTTCCTGGGCCAAACGCGTTGTTGATGTTGCGAGTTGTCTCCACTGCTTTCCAACCCATTTGGAACTCAAATAAGAAAATCGCTCAAATTTGCTTTCTGTCTAACATGATTTCCATAGTCTAAAATACACATAAAGAGCAAGTACCAAGTCATTAGCAAAAAAATATAAAGCAAGAAATGTGCATTAAAATGATGTATGACATAACCACATTTATTTAAGAACATATTCCAGTGTCAAAGGGCAGATGTCAACAATGCCAAAACCGCAATTACTTTTGCACCAACCTAATCCTTAAACCACAACCACCATGGATGAGTCTGGATGAAGACACAGAACTGCAGACTGGGGGCAATTCTACTCCCACTTTCTGACATGCAGAATGGTGCCCCCCTAAGGTCAGACACATTAATCCATGATTGGTAACACACCTGCTGTTACTGTCAGCAGCCGTGGTTTTCTGTTAGGCCGACATAGCTGTGAAACATATCCCAAAGCGCAGAGCTGGACGGGACTGAAATGTTCCGCATGCTTAACGAAGGAAACAAACCCTCCAACCAAAAGATATCAGAATCAAATGACTCAAAAAAGGAAATTCTTTTCTTTCTTATTTTTCCACAACATCCCTTACTGTTCTCAGTGGTGTGCTTCCCACCATCAGAAGTGGAACAACTCAACAGGCACTTGCATTTCTGAAATGACTGAAGTGTTCCCTCCACCTAAAAAGCTTTTTCATTATTTATTTTGGAGGAAGAAAATCATTTTTCTCTTGAGAGAAAGAAAATACTCTTTAAAAAATACAAAAAAAAATCTATGGCACTGGTACTTTTACATCAAGATGTTAAGAAATTCAAATGTGTCAGCAATTACTTCTTAGAAATGCAAAGGCAAGGGCCTGCAGCCTTGGGGCCAAACCTGACCCCTGCTTGTTTTTATACAGCCTGTGACCCAAGAATGGTTTTCACATTTTTAAATAGTTGAAAAAAATCCAAAGAAAAATAATATTTCATGATATAAGAACATCATATGAAATTCCAATTTCAGTGTCCATCAATAAAGTTCTATTGGAAAACTGCCATGCTCGTTCGTTTACATGTTGATCACGCTCCTCCTGCGCTTAGTGGCAGAGTTAAGTAACAGACCACGTGGCCTGAAAAGCCTCAAATATTTACTATGCTACACTACAAAGAAAGCCTGCCAACTTCTGATCTAAGGTAAATAATAGATCTTCCATTATCACAGTTGTTAAAAATACAGTGAAGTTTCTGGAAAACATTTTCTTCCTGCCTATAAAAGCCAGAGATTACAAACATTTTTTAAAAATAGAAAGGGATAATTAAGAAAATAATCTATAATCCCACCACCCAGATATAACCGTATTTTGAAATATAGCTTCTAGTTCTATTTTTTTTTACCCCAGGAAACAAACATGAGGCCTACTTTTTAATGCTACAAAATATTTATGAACACAGCTCAGAGCACACAGAGATGGGCAGGGAAAGGTTTACCTTGGTGTTTCACTGCTCACACATAAAAGTTCAATACAAAAAAATGAAGATTCACGAAATATATTTAGTAGAATCAAGTACAGTCATGTGCTACATAATGACGTGGTTAATGACAAGATTACGATACCACATTTTTACTACACTTTTTCTATGTTTAGGTATGTTTGGATGCTGAG